TATGAATGCAAAAATGATCATATACTTTTAGGGTAAAAATTTAAAATAGCTATTATTGATTGACAACATTCAGGTTTTTATAATTCTGTAAAAAGTGGCCATATTTTTTATCAGGTTGGCATTAATTTGCAAGTTTGGAAGATTTATGTCTGGATGTTTTCTGTCAAATTTGGTTAAACACTGAAATGGGTTTTGAGTTGAAGTTGTTCACATGTTTTATCTAATTCTAGTAATGTGTTCATATGTGTCACAGATCAGTATCATTAAGGTCATTTATGCCAGGATGTTCTATGTTAAATTAAAGTGTTACAATGGTTCTTTTGAGAAGGTCTTTAATATATGCAATCATTGACACATGCATAATAGATGATAACATTTTGTTGATTATACCAATCTTGGAGATGTTACACCTATCCGATTTTCTACTAAAATGGCTTTCTGTAAAAATTATTTATATATTCAACATCAAAATTAGCAAGGAACTGCATGACAGAATAATATAATGTTATAATTTGTAACCATTATCACTGCAAAAACATTACAAGCAGAATGAAAAAAAAGACAAATGAACTAAATAAAGGGGAATATACACCACATAATGGTATACTTCATAACTTTCATAACTTATTAAATGGTTGAACTTTTTTTCAATTATCACTAGATAACTATCTCTGGGGTCATAAATCCTACAATTTTGTAGTATTTTGTAAATCATGATGGACTTCTGCCTCATAAACAAGGTTCACTTCCCCTCCATTGATGTCTAGTTTGACATCCTGGTACTTCACCAATTGATCAGTCTCAGCAACAGGTACATTACTGGAATGATTCCAGTCCACAGATTGCATCAGTGATCCTAAGAAAAAACACATACGATTTATGGAATTCTCAAACATGCATGTCTCAGGTTCACATACACTTAAGAAAAGAGACATGCTCACAATTTAATATGTTTAGAACAATTTAGTTTGTTTAAATTATCATTAACCAGATCAGCTGTTGTGCAAATTTTTATAATTTATTATCTGACAATACTGCATTTATACAGATAATTGATTATATTGTGGGTTAACAGAGAGCAGAGATAAATCAAATTTATACTGTCTGGTATAGGATAATTTGTTTCAATGTTCCATCAAATTACAAGTAAAATACCTTTTTATGCTAAGCCAACATTACATTTCCTCAAGTTATATCTTGTCTTAGTTTGAGACATGGCAGTGGCAAATATCTGCTCATTTGATGTTTACAAAATTTAAAACCAAAAAACAGAATACCAAAATGTATCATGGTTTGAGATGAACATAAGATTCCAGTATGAATTAAAGTTGTGAAAAGTTATTCAAATATCTTCATAACACTGTAAAGAAGAAGTATATTTCAATGGTTTATAACACAAAAACTAATGGCAAATTGCGACATGGCATTCAGTTCGTCTGGAAATGATTACAAGAAAATGACTGTCAAATCCATTGATCCAATGGATGCATATTACAGCATTCCAATATATGAACATTTTCTAAATTGTATATAAAAATGTACAAAAGTGTTATGCAGGAAAAAGTTGTCTGGCTTTTATGGTAAAGAAAAAGAGGGTGTAATTTATTCTATCTCAAGGTATTAACTCTGAATTTTTTATTTATTCATTTCAATTCAAAGTCTGTTCATATGGATAAAACAGTCTAAGGAAAAGGCTAAAGTTATATATTGATAATCTGTTGCCTATCACTAAAATCATTTCTACAAGGCAGCATTTTTCAGTGCTTTTACTGGATAATACCCTTCAACAAGCTTTAGAGTAGGGGTGGGCAAAATACAACCTGTGTGCCCCTTGTTAGTCAGTGACCAGGTTTTATCCATTAATTTACATTATACAGTGTTGCATTAAAGTTGCTTATCCAGCTTATGCTGTATAGGAAGTACCCATTCCTGCTTATGTGGGAAGACAAAAATCTTGGTCTTAAAAGTCACAATTTTTTTTTTACCCCACAACTGCTATGCTTCTTATATACCCCAAACGCATGATCCAACATTTGGGTAACTGTAGATGGTGGAGAATTCATTCTATTGTGGAAACCATTGCTCTTCTTTCAGTCAGCAACCTAACTTTTCTGACCTGGATTTTAGGTGAATTCAGGGTGTATTTTGTTGAAAACCTCCACATTTCAGACAGATTGTAGGAGGACTAAGGTGACAGACTCAATTCTACTAAGAGTTAAGGGTGCTATTTCTCATATTGATCCTAAACAATATATGTCAGAACAAAATGTTTGATTGTCAGTTCATTTTCTTACTGTAAGATGGATTTGGCTTTTATGCTAATTTGGTCAGAAATATTAAACATAATTTTGAACATTACAAATACAACTACAAACATAATGTATTTTAACTTCATCTAATTTCTACTCTGAGATATATAGTTTTTGATTCCTTTTAAAATATCTTCTGCAAATATCATATCTTAATGAAATTTCAGTGAGAGTAAATAAAAGTTCATTTCCACAAAACAATTACTGTATTTCACAAAATTTCAATGAATTGTTACTGAGATTTTGCCAAAATTTCTGATAATACATCTGTATGATTTTAGGATTACATTATCATGGACTGTTCAATAAAACATATCAATAAGAAACAGTAATGATATAAAAATTGAACATTTATTCCATTTTTTTTTTGTTTCTTGTTCATTTTGAATATTTTTCAGCAAAATTATATTTTCCATTTCTGATAGTGCAAACTATATTTATCAATTTGGGAATAATAACTTCTTTCTGCTTCTTTTCTTGTTTTTTTTGTTGTTGTTTTTATTGCTTTCTTTTTTTTTCTTTTTATTCTTTAACTTGAATTGGATTTAACTTCCCTCAGACAATAAAACTTATTTCCTTTATAAAACAGAATTCCTCTTTTCTCCAGATCTCAATCCTTTTTTTCCTTAATTTGCACCAGTTTATTTCCTTATCACCTCCAAAACATTTGTTTTCAAATGATTTGTCTGGTACCAGTCTAAAATGATTGTAATAAGTATTTGTTCAATGTTTTATTTAACAGATGACATGTCGAGTTTTCTGATTGGACAAAAGTTTGTATTTGTCCAATGAATCTTTGCATTATGGGATACTGACTGGAATGAGCATGCTTGCCAAACATGGTTTGTTGAATTTTTGAGCAGTAGACAAGTTTGGATGCAGAAATGTGAATGGCTTGAATGCAAAGTCTTTGGGAACATAATTGATCCATCTGTAACAAAAGTGAAAGCCAGGATAAAATTTTTGCAATATTTGCCATAAAGATTTGTACTGCTATTACCAGCTCTACTCAAGTGGCTAAATATCTTATTTAATTACACAATGTACATAATGTTTACTTGCTACTATAACATCAATTTCCTTTTCTGTAAAACCTAGTCTACAAATTCAAGACAAATATTCTCTGCTACAATACTGAAAGGCAAGTATTGAAAAGAACATGATCTATTTAGTCATAGCCAATGAATATCTTCCTCTTCTGACCTTTAGCAAGATCACATGATATCAAAGTGTGGTGGGAGGAGATCATGTTTGCAATTATGGTAGGTATGTATTACATAAATAAATTAAATTTTACCCTACAAAATAATATTTTAATAGCAGTAACATATTACTTACTACTGTTGCATTGATGAATTTATCATTTAAGGGGAATGCTGATGGCATCAACAAAACTGCTATATAAACAATTGCATTTATCATTATGGTAGAAGTGTTTACTACTTTAGTCTGGTAGAAGGTTGGGCCACATGAAGGTTAGCCACATGAAATCATGCCTTGCTTCTGTATGCTAATGATCAAAGGATAAAGATAAGGTATGATGCTACACCTATCACAGTGTAATTAAAAGTGATTCAAGTTGTCCCAGATTTAGCAATAGCCCTCACTTCACAGGCTTGAATTCTCATGAAAGAAAGGTCCCTTCCAGTGGGGGACTGATAAACTGAGCACAATACATCTGTTGTTGGTGGTCATCAAAATATTAATTTAATCAAGTGACAGAGGTAGAAAGAAACAATTTCAACTCTTTCTTCTGCTTTCAGAGCAAGCCTAATATCATTAAATCCCTAACTTGGCAGGATCCCTCAGAAAGACTTGGGGTCTTAACTGGAACTATAGCTATTTAAGATAGTTATAGCTTATGCAGAAACATGATGACAAAGAAGAGAAACTGAATCACAGTTACCATTGAGTGTGAAAAAACCTTTTTCCATTGAGAAGGCATGAATTTTACTCAACTGATGACAAAGAAAAGAGCAGAATAACAGAATTAAGAATAATGGATTTGAAGAAAGTTTCACTCAAAGGTTTAGTGGTGGTTTGGCAATGTCCACTGAGCACAAAATATAGACATTACTGGACGCGATACTGAAGCTCAAAAGAACATCAGACAGATGAAGCTCTGGCCTAGTGGCAGAATCCCTAGAGAACATTCAAGTATTTGAAAAGACTGCCATATACCTTTTAATGGTGAACATAGTCTTCAACTACAACTGATGCATCAAAGCAAAGAAAGGTGAAAGGTTAAGGTGTGTGGATTGGGACATTCACAATTCTGAGGAGAGAGGTTGTTGTTGTTATATGGTTTAATGCCATTTTTGAGCACAAGATAGGTGTTACATGGCAGTCAGTATAAATAGTGGAGGAAGAATCAGACAGAACCACAGAAAGGACGACCAACCCATGAAAAGCTAATGACAAGCTTTTTCATGTACCCACATTGGCTGGGAGAGAGATGTGATTATGATTTTTAATGTAGCTTTAACAATTTTTCAGTATTATTGCTATGATGTCTGCAGTGTGGCAGTTTATAGTGATGTCTAGCACTGGGGCATCACATCACAGACATGTAGCATGATGTCCCATCCAGTCACATTATCCTGACACTAGGCCTACCAGTCCTAACACTAACCTCTTAATGCTGAGCATCAAGCAAGGCAGCTTTTAGTACCAATTTTGTAAGTCTTTGGTATGACTTGACCGGGGATCGAACCCACAACCTCCTGCATCCGAGGCAGATGCTCTAACCGCTAGGCAACATGAGCAGTTGGGTTGGAGATAGAGAAGTAAAGTCAGTCTAATTACATCTTGGCTAGAAAACTCTTTATGATGGATAGGTTCTGGCAAATTCTGCTTGGTAGTTTGGCTTTATAACTTGATATTACCATAGGGTAGCTTAGCTCAAATTCAAACCATATGAAAAAAGATAAGTTGCCCTTTTTAACACAAATATATGTTTTAAGAGAGAGGTTCATGTGAGCATATTAATTGCAGTATGTGCCACAACTACTCCCATTACTAAAGATATGCCATTTAATATGCCACAATCATCCTTGAACAAAAAGCTGTGAATGTTAGTAAGTCAGAAAAAATAATGAACAAAAAGCTGTGAATGTTAGTAAGTCAGAAAAAATAACTATCTTATGAAGCAATCAGGCACACTTTGTCTCTGGCACAAAACTGTATCCACTTCATATTGGTAAGATTTTATTATCATATTGCCATGCTTAAGCAAAGCCTTACCTGTAGAATTAAGACTGGCTGTTTCACTGCTCTCAAAGCTGAGCAGACTGGCAGTGTCATGCTGGGAATGAACGCTCTTGAAAGCACTATCCAGTCGCTGGAAAGCCTGGGCCAGGCCAGCTTCTGAAGCAGTTGCTGGTGGCCAATTGGAGTCATTATTTATGTCCTCCTTCAGGGTCAAATAGCTGTGATATAAATGCACATTACAAGGAAACAATGTGTTTTGAGTTCCCATTATTGAATTTAGTGCATATGACAAAAAAATGACATTGTCTAAATGAGAATAAACTAGCATCTTTGTTCAAATCTGAATAAAAGAAAACTTCCATGCTTTCTTCAAAGCATTTAATACACTTGCCTACAAAGAAAAAATAGTTGATATACTTAGCATGGTCAAATATCACTGCCACAAACATACATATATGTGTGTACACTCGTATAATGATAACAATACTGACATGTAAAAATATTACACACCAAGCTTCTGAATTTAAAATCCATTGGATGGCAAAACATGTATTAATTTGATACAGTCTTTGCTATTCTTAATAATTCAATTGTAAGTTTCAAGACAATGCAAATGCCATTAGTGTTCATCATTGCACTGGACAATACTAGTGTTCAAACTATTCTCTGAGTGAATTCAATGCTGAGTTGTTAGTGTTGACAATAATATTAGTATTGTCAGAACCATGTCATATGTAATCTGACCGCATTATATGCTCGTCTCTATTAAAAAATTAATAACATAACATTTGGAACTGTTAATTTCTTTGCATGTGGGATAATCTTTACAAGTTTCATGGAGCTTTGCAGGTAATACAACAGCATCAAATGCCTCCATCTTGCACAGGTGCACTATTTTGTTGTATTTCAAAAGTGGATAAAACACACAGAAATGCATGAGTCAATTTATAATGAGAACTAATCAAAAAAGTAAAACTCTGTGACCCTGGATTATTTTTCCTGAAATTTATTTTTGCTGGGCTTTGATTATGGTGGTAGGAACAAAAAAGGAAACATTTATGTCCAAGATGTTTTTACAATAATATTTTGAGCATGTAGGAGATTTCATTGAGTGACAAGAAGGATAGAAGACACATCTCACATTAAGTAGAAAACCTGCCTAGTTGAAAGGTTCATGCGTATGCTCAGCTGAAATGAACATTGACAAACAGAAACTTCAACATCTCTATAAATATAAAGAAAGAAGCTGTGATCAGTTAATTGACCTGGATAATACAACACATTTTCTAAAATTATTTTAAAAAATCTCCTGTTAATTTTGACAATACAACTTTAAGAAACTGGTGAAAGTAATGTACAATTTTTGTAGCCAGGCCATGCTGCATATGAGTTATGAGTTAATGTTGTAGTGAAGTGCATCATATCAGCTTTCAATGTATATATGTATCCCAATACAAATGACCTGATTAAATTGTCTGGCCATTAACAGTATTTTTTTCACTTTTTTAAACATATTTGTACCTTTGAACTTAAACTTTATTGGCAAAAGCTCTGTTAGAAAAATTAAGCAAATATAAATTTAAGGTTTGGCAAATAAAATTTAGCAAACATATCTGTTTCATATCTATGTTACTGGATTTTATTTTTTGACCGTTCACAATTTCTAGTTACTACACATACTATAACTTTTTGGGCATAACCTATCTGAGTGAAACCTTGTTAGTATGATTACAAAGCATAAAGTATGTGAAGCAGTTGAAACAAAATTTCAATCTATGTCTGCATGCATATGTATCCTCATGACATAAGAACATTTTCAAATATGTTCTAACTTTTATAATTTTGGAGATTTGGACATTGTGGTCAGCAGTGCATGTTTAACAAACACAAACTAGTCCCCTGTTATATGGTCTCTTGAACTGTTTATCGAAAACCCACTGTATTATTTGAAAATCTTAAAATATCTTAACTTTAATGATTAAAATAATAGATAGTCATAAAATGAATGAAATACATGAGATTTCCATATGAATTTCCAGAAATGTATCTTTCCTAAGGCTGAAATAAGTTTATTATAAAAGAACTTTCATGATGTTTATCACTGCAATAAAAATCACAATCTTTTAAATAAATTTGAAAGACGTGTAGTTTTAGTAAATGTTAAATCATACCAAATGTTGAACTTGGGATTTACACTTGCATAAAGATAAACTTTATTTATAAATTCCACTTTTTTGTTTCAGCTGTGTGTGTGTGTGAAGTTAAATTTCAAAATTCCTGACAAACTCTTAACAGTAAGAAATAAAAAGAAAAATATTGATAAAAATATACAATTATGCATGATCAATTGACATTTTTCAATCAAATATTTGTCTCACTAATGAATATGCAATGTTGCATCCATTTCCATCATATCTGAATATTAACAACTTCAACACAAAATTTTAACACACACCACTGCTATCATTCCAATGTGAAAAAATGATACCTATGTTTGCAATTTGATAATATTAGTAAGTAAATAACACTTGTTACATACCTCTGTTTATTACTGCTGCAGCACATACTATCAAGAAAGTCTTGGCAGGTTTTCGCGATGAATTTACTGTTCAATATAAACATCTGGAATATAAAAATGTTTTAATTTGGCACAGTTACACCCTTCAAAGACTCTCTACTACTATTGAATAACAAGAGGACAAAGTAAATCTAAGATCACTAACTTAACTGACATCTACCTACTAGCCAAGTGCAGGGACAGTTGGCCAAGAAATCTGGTATTGTATAATTCCTTGTGATTATAGGATTTTTTTTTTATTGGTTGGCACATTTGATAGTAGTCTAGCATCATTTGTGCAAACTTGAAAGATCTTTTAGTAATATGTCAAATTATGTTCATTGATTTTGGTAAGGCATTGCTTAAAAGTTTTTGTACTTTAAGTAATGGTCGATATACTGATTGCAAAGAATCATCTGTACAATACAAAAAACCTTCTTTACAGATCTAGATGTGAAATTTGGTAACTCAGTGGATATGTCAGGTTTTATTTTTAAGCTTTGAGAAGTTGTTTATTTTTCCTTCTACCTTTATTAATACCAGTCACATCTGACTTTAAGACAGAATGTTTTTTCTGTCAGTTTTGCTTAAATTCTCTTCATCAGTATAATTTTCTCAGTTTTTTTAATTTATCTTTAGTAATTATGGCAAAATTTAATAGCAGACTGGCAAAAATTGCAAAAATTGAAAATAATTTATGACACTATGCTTTTCAGTTTGGTAAAATTCTGCTCAGTGCTCTTTAATGAAGTTGTTGCTTTATACACATCCTAATATGGTGTAAAATTGCTGGATGTTGATTATGATTCCCAAAATGTAAATTTTTATCCTATGGTTATATAATTGTATAGCCTCAACACTGTTTTTTTTTGTTTAAAAAAATTATACTGCATGTTTCATCCAGACTCGAAAAGATAATTTAAAAATTTTCAAATAATGTTATAAGGGCTTCAAACAGATTTGAAGGATTATTTTTCATAAAAAAATAGAACAGCCCTTAGGCTACATTGTTTTGTCAGTGCATAAATCAGTAAAGAAAAACAAACAAAAAAAATCATATAATTAACCAATTTCATTCGTCCAATTTATACAATTTTATTTTTCATTCATCACTTCTGGAAAATAAATAATTATGAATTCATATTTTATATCATTTTATTTACATTCAACTTTGTGCAATCCATCATAGAAATTCAAGAAGTTTTTCAAAAAATTCAAAGATTTCAACATTCATGCAATTTTCAAGGATAAAATGATTTTCTTTTAAAATGGAGTTTTCATAACAATACTGAATGATGCTGTATGTAGAAAGCCACAGTGTACTATTATTGAGAATGTCTCAAGTGTCAGACGTTAAAAGTTATTAATTACCTCTTACAATAAAAAATCAATTGATACAAGCCTCCACTTCAAGATAAATTATTTTTTTTTATATAAAATATTTATTCAATTCTGATGAGGTATTCCCTACTGTAATGCAGTTTTCAATTATAATACTGCTCAATGAAACATGTAATTTACAGTTGCTTCATGAAATTTACATCTCAGATATTCGTTATGGTAACCTTGCTCTGAGCTATATTCATAGAATATAAAATGATGCATAATAGCAGCTGTTTTCCCATTATTGTGATATACACCTTACATGAATTAACTTCCCTTATATATACTGAAATATTTAAAGCCTACACCATTACTTTCAAGTATATAAAATTGAATTATATTATTTTATAATGATAGCAAATTAGACAAATGTAAATTTATCTCTGCATAAAATACAAATGTTAGGTGGGGTGAACTCCTCCTAGGAGAACAATGAAATATACAGATACTAAGTAAAAATTTGAAAGAAAAAATACAAATTTGTTTGCATAAAATTGAACAACAAGGTTTTTAAATGTAAGCAAATAATAATAAATACAAATACTCTACTTAATATAGAAAATTTGCTCTAAATAAGGACACTACTTTTTAGGAAAATGACACACATTCATTAACA